GTTTTTACTAGGGATGCACCGATACCACTTTTTCCAGTACTCGCCCGATACCGATACTTTTATTTTTGGTACTTGCCGATACCGATGCCGATACCGGTATTTTTATTGCATTTGTACATTTTTTAAATATTGGGTACAGAAACCAAAAGGGTATGTATAATGTTAGTTGGTTAACTTCATTTATCAAATAGATACAGTCAAACCAATATTTATTCAGACACCTTCAACATTTCTCACATTATCACAGTTTATTCGTTATAGTTTAGAAAATGGTAATAAAATATGACAAGAACTCAGAGTTAAACTGTGTCAGAACAAATTCATCTTGATAATGCTAGATAATTCTGATAGAAAGGTATGTAATAGATTACAATCAACCAAAATAATTCAGACAGCTGTTAGTATGACAGTATTTACACAACTATGAATACTTTGTCGGGCAACCCTTAGCCTCAATGACAGCCTGTAGTCTCCTGGGCATGCTGTCATCCAGCTTCATGCAAACCTCAACTTCAGTTTTTTTCCCAGACTCGGTCTGAATAATTTTTGGACCCAAATTTGTATCAGTTTTACTGGTAGTCCACTGTATGCAGAATTTTTGGGTATAATTTGTCACATTTTACTTTATTTGCTATCCTCACTTACATAAATGAGCTATAGTGTCCTGCACCCACTAGATCAAAAATTTCAAAAATTATATCTGGTCTCTGAATCGTTTTTGGTTTCACTGTATATCCTTCGGTTATTAATTATGCCCATTATGCCCATTAAAATGTATTTTACAAGTTTTTGTTACTTTCACTGTTCATTTTTTTGCTCTATGGTACATCATCTTTAATTTAATAGCATTAGAGCTGCTCCATTGCAGCGACTTAGTACTGTAATCACATGCTTTGCTGTAATAATGCAGGGAACCACTCATTATAAATCTCCTAACGGTGATATTTTCAGAAATAGAAGTCGCATTTTTTTCATCTGAAACGTGCTGCGATTTATATTCCAAAGCCACTCATATAGCCTAATGCAGAAACACTCAAGCAAGCAAAACGCGTAATGCGTGCACGTATTTGTACTGGTGCAGAATGAGAGGGAGTAGTACTGCTAGATTCACTTTCGCTAGAAAGTCGTGTATGACTCTGGTCATTTTTTTGAGTTGTGTTCAGTATACTACAGACAGTGACACATTTTTACCAATGCTATTTATTTGCATTACTTGCTTATATATATATATATATATATATATATACTGTATATATAATTACTTATACTAATAAGTATACTAAAATACTAATAATTACTATTTACACCATTAAAGATTGTAAAAATATGGCACAATGAACTGTATTAATATGAAGGAATTTTCCATATTTATTTTTCTGTATTTAGAATTTTGCACTTCATTGTGTTCTGTTTTAGAGTTAATGGAAATGTCTGTAAAATTACTGGATATTGTCTTTACAGTGTACTTATAATTAGTTATCGAGAACATGCTATTAATTACATATTAATATTATTATTGGCATGTAACATTACCTATCTATCTGGAATTATCCGATTGGTCCCATTTGATCAGACTGTATAAAATAAAATAGAAATGAATAACTAACTAACTAACTAACTAAATGTAATCAAAAATTAAAATGAAAACTGAAAATATAAAAATAAAAGCTAATTCAAAATATGAATAAATACTATAATAGTATCTAAATAATACTTATAAAAAAAAAAAATTTAAAAAAAACTGCAAGATACTGAAATGGGATAAACATCAAAATTCACACTGTTTCGTAAGTACAGCCATGTCATGACCACGTAAACGCGGTAAACATTTGTAAACGTTTTATGTGCAAGGCCACCTGAAAGAATTGAGATTGAATCATTCAGAGAAACTCCATCCACTTGAAATCACATTGAATTCATCCATCAAGTAAAGTAGTTCCACTTCAAAAGGACGATTTAGACTTAAATCTCAAATAACAAACGTTTTGTACAGAATAACAAAAACTTCGCTTTTCTGTGAAATCCCCTGAATGCCTTGTCCAACTGTAAGTGCATTACCGTAAAACTTTCGGTTTGTTTTTTCTGAATTGAGAAATTATTTTCTGTCCTTCGTGACTCAGATCCTGTCAATAGAGTTTGTTGTATTTATCTGGAACATTCTTTAAAGACAAGCTGCCACTGCCTTCCATCTTTCACTCCTTCACGGCCGACAGCAGTAAATCAGTCCGTTCATAACTTTGAATCATATCAACGAGCCAGATTGTTTTCCTCAGCTAATAATTCATATACGGATCTTCCATATGGCAGAGTGAAAAGATGTATAAAAAGTGCCTGAGTAATGAGATTGCAGGGCTGGTTAGGGACTGATAGTTGTTTTAGTGAAATGGCAGATGTTCTGGTGACGAAAAAAAAATGCTTTTATGCTGCACATAAAGACAGTTAGATAGAATGAGAGAGAGACGGTGGATTGAGAACATGGAAGATGATAAAAAGCAAGCCAAACTCTGGTGATACGCACAGAGAAAGTAATATTTACTGGAACTGGGAAGAAAGACAAGGTATTTTTTTCGCACCGGGGGAGCAGCCAGCCAGCCATACTTGTCCTCCGTGCGGTTCATGTCTCGGTCGAAAGCGTACAGCTGCCGGTAACGCAGGTGATCCAAGTCTACGAGGTTGAACTGCCGGCGGGCGTAATGATAACTCTCATTGTTGCCGACTCGGGGAAAATCCAGCCATTCCGGATGGCCAAACTCATTGCCTGCAATTAAACACAATAGAGAAGTTTCTTACAGACTGAAGAGAAACTCGTGACAATCTGATGTCTCTACTGCCTTTGGGTCTCGCTCCCTGTTTGTGCCATCGATTAGTGTGACAGTCAGTTTCGGTTTGTTCCTCTACACTTGGCATAAACTGTTGAGATTCACTAGATTCACGGGCCTTACCGGCTGTATGCTGAGGGGGTCCGTAACGACGGTCTGCTGAGTGTTCTGCCTGTTTTGGAAGTCCAGCAAGTAACTTTGTTTCAAGAACCGCAATCCTTTGTAGAAGTTTGCAGCAGTTCATGCAGCAAGTAGATTCAACAGGAGGCATTTTCTTTCTCTTCTGTTTGAATGTGGGCAGCTGTGTTTTCCCTTCTCCGGAATGTAAGCTGCTGGCAGTGGGAGGCAAAGTCTTCTTTTTCGTGGTATTATTCCAGTCCCAAAGAGTTTTTAGTTTTAGTGTTTGTGCCAAAAATGTGTTGTTTGAGCACTGTGCTGATCTGCTGAAGTAAAAATCTTAGAAAAATCCGAGAAAAGTACAGAAATAGGGAGCAAAGCGCAGAGCAGTAAGCAAGAACGTCCGAAAGCTAGTTATTGTTGACCAAGTTGGTTTGAGTGTCTGACAGAAATACAGTTTTTTGTGTTTCCTTGTGGCCACAGCCACTTTGAACATTTTGTTGCGCCGGTAAGTCAAAAGAGTTCAACTTTTTAAAGGGGTCATCGGATGCTAAATTCACTTTTACATGTTGTTTGAACATAAATGTGTGTTGGCAGTGTGTGTACACATCTACCCTACAATGATAAAAATCCACCCAGTGGTATTTATTTAATCCCTAAAAATAGTATCCCCTTTTTCAAATCAGGCCATTCTCAGCTTCTTGGCTGTTTGACGTCACACGGACGAAGGCCCCTCCCACGATAGTTGATTGACACTGACATTTTACCTTAGACCCACCCTGAGTGAGCTGTAACAGTCCGACCGCCATTGTTTCGACGCTGGAGCGGGGCGTAGAAAAGAATGGCTCCTAAGCGATTGAGGTGTTCTGTTGTTGGATGTAATAATGAACATAGCAGCCATCATTGACTCCCGACATCTGAGTCGCTGAAGACGCAGTGGATTAAGTTTGTTTGTGAAGGGAATGCACCTCCCAATCTACCTAAATGTGCGTCTATGTTCGCACGAATCATTCGTGATCCAGCTTCACCTACAGAAGCAGCGAGTATAAGGTTTTTTTTAATGAATATTTGAAATCGCCTTTCCTAATAACATGCTAGTTAGCAAGTTTCGCAGCTAAAGTAAACAGTCTCTCAGAGCACGGCTCATCATCCCACAGAGGAGAGGGGCGGGGTGAGCAGAGCTCATTATCATTTAAAGCAACATGCAACAAAACGGGTTGATGTCTGCAGAGCTGTTTTTGACAAGGTAAAAAGGGTGTTTTACACTACCACTGAGAAATTTTAACCAAAGTATGTTATAGACTTTTCATTAAGACCCTAAATAATTATATAAACTTGTGGAAAATGGGCATCCGATGACCCCTTTAAATAATTATTGACATTCAGTCTCGCTGGGTTGGGTTGTTTTGATTAAGAATAACAGGTAACTTACAAAATTAAAGTTCATTAAAAGTATGTTTTTTCATGTATTAAAAGTTTGTTTTATAGCAACAGCAAATAACTCCACAGTGTTTTTTTTTTGGCAAAAGCAGATAATTCCACATTTCAAGTTTCAGAGTTAAACAAAAACACTCGTTTAATCTTTGTAATCTCTTCCGCTGACAATGTAGATGCCTGACAAATGTTGTTGTTGTGATTACATGCAATACACGGGGCTTTTCCCTCACCATTGTAATGTGCTGCTTTTGCAAGTTTCCGTGAAAAGTTTCAGCTTTTATTTTCCTATTAAGCCCCAAAGAAGATATCGGGGGTTCATCAAGTTCATCAAAATTATCCATCCTTGATCACTTTTAGTCAGCTTTGACGAAACTCCTCTCAGCTAGCACGTCTTTTTGAAATGACTAGCAGCCTTGTCACCTGACCTGAATACAGCGCACTGATTCACTAAAAAGGACTTGTCAGCTCTGTTCACAAACAACAAGGACACTTGTCGGCTTCTGCAGTAAAACATAAACTCGCAATGCCTTGAAAGTGGACAAAACCGGCTTTTTTGACAAAATGTGTTTAGGGTTCAGATTGCGCTATATGTGGAGAATAACACACGGCAGTCAGTTCATTTTTTTTTTTAAAGATGGTGCTTATCGTTTTTTGCAAATGAACTCTTCATATGACTTTCTTCTTTCAGACAAATACAATCAGAGTTATATTTTAAAAATGTCCTGGCTCTTCCAAGCTTTATAATGACAGTGAATGGAGGCAGAGATTTTAAAGCAAAATAAAGTGCATAAATCCATCATAAAAATACTCCACATGGCTCCAGGGGCCATCCTCGATCACTTTTAGTCAGCTTTGACGAAACTCCTCTCAGCTAGCACGTCTTTTTGAAATGACTAGCAGCCTTGTCACCTGACCTGAATACAGCGCACTGATTCACTAAAAAGGACTTGTCAGCTCTGTTCACAAACAACAAGGACACTTGTCGGCTTCTGCAGTAAAACATACTTTATAAACCGTAATCTCTAGCTTCCGCTAACTGTCATACGCACGCTCATGAGAGAATGGCGCTCCAGTGGATGATGCAGGACGTAGGACGTGATGCAGAACATTTGTTTTGCTCTCTCCTCTGTGCTTCCGCATTCGTCACTTCTCACCGGAGCTAACGCTACGCCTACATCCTACATCATCCGCTAAAACGCCACTCTCTCATGAATGCAAAAAGTTACAGAAAGCTAGAGATTTCGGTTTACAAAGATTTAAATATGGATGTTATTCTTATGCAAATGCATAAATTCACTTCAGAAGGTCTTTATTAACGCCCGGAGCCATGTGGAGCACTTTTTATGATGAATGGATGGACTTTATTGAACTTCAAAATCTCAACATCCATTCACTGTTATTATAAAGCTTGGAAGAGCCAGGACATTTTTTTAATATAACTGTAACGTAGTTCGTAGATCGTGAAGAAGGAGGCGGGAACCGGCGAACATTCAAACCGGACTGGAGTAATGATGCTGAAAATTCAGCTTTGCATCAGAAGAATATTACGTTTTTAGATATGGTTATTTTACATTGTAACAAAATTTCCACAATATTACTGCTTTTACTGTATTTCTGATTAAAAATGGCTTTGGTGAGCAAAAGAGACAAATTTAAAAAATTTATAGAATCTCTGCCACACACACACACACATACACACATTAAGGGGGTCTGAATACTTTCCGTACCCACTGTACATACATACACATACACATACACACACATATGTCCATGTTTTATGGTGACATTCCACAGGCATAATGGCTTTTATATTGTACAAACTGTATTTTCTATCCCCTTACCCTAAACACAAAACTACTGCCATTTTTAGATTTTTTTAAAGACTTTATTCTGTATGATTTATAATTTTGTCCCTATAACGTAGTGGATACCTGAAGCACACACATACACACACACACGCACACACACACACATACACACACAGCAGTTTTATGTACAAGTAGAAACTTTATACTCCAAAAATAACTTTTCTCCAAAAACTCTTGTTAGTTTGACACTGTTAAGATAGCGTGTCCTTTTCTTCCTGATATCCACATTCAACATTTAATTGAAAATTCTGATGTTTCAAAAGGTCACCTCTGGAAAAAGTACCAAATTTGAGTTTAAAATCCTCTCTGAACAATGACTGTGAGCAAAGAGTCGTCCAGTAACCTGCCCTCACCCTGAACGAACCTTTCCCTCTCAAAGCACCTCCTGCAGCGAATGTTCACTTCAAACTCACTGCCATTATCAAACCAAGACAAGAGAAGTGTACAGCTTCAAGATCTATTCCCAGAGCGTGTTTTTTTTTTAAAGTTTATTTTCTAACAAACGAATGAATGCTAAATGAATCTGCAGACCCTTTATTCATAACATTTCTGAAAGAACAGAGAAACACCACAAACACACATGCATAATGAACTGGGAGACGAAAAGATAGGACTGCATAATGCATTATGAAACACAAAATGATCTTGTCTGAGGGTTAAGTAACAGGAATAGAAAGGATTGTCTTTTGATGTACCACTTTTTATGTCTCTCATGGCACTATAAAATATGAGAAATTGCCAAGATTTTCCACCAGATTTAAAGGCAGAGTAAGCGATTTCTGTTTGTTTTGCTATTCGGCCCGAATCAGTTTTCTAAAGTGTTTTTGAAAAATCACATACCCTGCCTTTAAGTAAAGGCCTATATTATATAATATATAACCATCTCTAAGGTCCAAAATAAACTTTTATTCAGCTGTCAACGACAAGCAATAAAACTGTTATATAACATATATTTAAAATATACTACACAACAATAAATAATATTATTTTTTCTAACATTTTCTTTTAAATATATTTTAACCCATATTTTTTACTCCTTGGTGAAACCACATTGTCATGTAAAGTAAAGATGTAAAGATTTTCTTCCTTTCGTTTTCAAATTGGTGGTTTAATGCGAAGAATATTCAATTTCAATCATGACAACTCTCTGAAGATTTTAGCATGGTGATGGATATGACAATGTTAATGTAACTGGTCTTGGCGGAATAGATCTGCTACGAAGGCAGTAAGCTCATTGGCTGCATATGCAGCATGAACCAATCAGCTTGTGCCAAGTCGTTTAACTCTCTGAATATCATCAGTTACGTTAACACCCCGTCAGAATGTGCCATCTAGAGTTTCATGACTGAACTATATATTTATTTAATTTATTTGGAAGCCTGGTCATTTTTTTAAAATCCTATAAATAATTTATATAATTTTTTAAGCCATTTTATAAATATAAACGTTAGATGAAATACTCAAATTGTAGCAAAAACTAGAAATGGTAAAAGAAAAATATAAACATATATACAACT